TTTTATCAATGCAGTTTAAGCTTTAAATTTGATACAAACATACAGCTCATCTCTTTCAAAAACTGAGTTTGAGTTATTGGGATATGAACTGCTTAATGTTAACTTTCGTAGTATATAAGGAGAACACAATGCTACCTATAACTTATGCTTTATTGTTTTCTAGGTGCGTAACTGCGTATTGTACAATTGTGGATAATCTGCATCATTCTTTTTGTTAAAAAAAGAATTCATGATGTATATGTAATCTGTATTTATATTTATTGGAGTGATGAAGTTGATGTTGACCATGTTCTGTGTTCATGTGGAGAAGTACATGTAGTTGAGATTTAGAAGCTGTTGAACGGTGTTGTATTCGCGATTGGTCGTTGATAAATCACCATATGACCTCCTATGCATTTAGTTCATTCTCAATTTATAAGCGATGTCGATTTATGATTGAGACACTGATTATTGATTGTTGATTATTTAGAGAATACTATACTGTTAAGCAACATTCTACTTTCCTAGAATGTGTTTTGGAAAAAGATAATTATAAGTTAATTGAGAGGAAACATGATAATGAAGTTGAATTTCCAGTTTATTAGGCATCAACTAACTCCATTTTTATAGCTTGTGAAGGTTTTTCAGTTTCTTTAATTTGCATAGTGTTAGACCCATTTTTGGGCTTGTATATTATTTATTGTATTTTAGCCTAGTTTATTATTTCTTGAGCCAACGGTTTATATTTTTTCGGCCATTACCATGTATATATACATTTGTATTCACAATGGAATAGGTACGGAAGTTTTTTACCCTAATTCATACTCTAAATCGCATCAGATAGCATAATCAACAATGAAGCACAAGAGGAAGGTGAAGATATTGGAGAAGTACATGGAGCACAATATATGATGATTTTGCAGGATGACATTCCTAATAGACTAGTAGGAAATTTTAAATTCAAAATATTGGTCTTGTAAAATGTTTGACCTTTTCTTATTATGTAATGCGATTCTTTTATTTAAATAATTCATATATTATTATAGGCATATGAAATTATCGTTCAGAACAAAAAAGTAAATATGCAATATACATTCAGCTCTTGTTCCAGTCAGGAGGGTTATTTGGTCATTTGATATTATTCAGACATCTCATTCAGCTCACTTGGTAAACAGTTTGTTATTTCAGTGTCACTTAATCCAGACAGACAACTTAATGCACAGACGTCTTAATCCATTCAGGACTTAATGAAAAAAAAAAGTAAACAGCTCCTAAGTATGACTTAGCTCTTTTGATTTCAAATTTTTAAAATCCAAAAGTGCACGTTCATGTTTCAACTTAGTCAAGCATGCAATATTACTTGAATCAATTAAACTTTCGTAGACTTCAACTTTTATTAATAAAAATTAGTCCAGAATTTTTGTCCCCAATAATTAAATGGCCGACTTTTTGACTTGGAAGTATTTGTATACTAACCAATCATTTGATCCCATTAAATCACCTTATATGATACTTGAATATTATTCCTTATCATATAAAAGTACCATTTATTTTAAATATTGGACAATAAATTCTTCAAATCAATACATCACTTTTACAACTTTTACAACTATGGATTCTAGTCATTAAATGAAATCGATCCGAACATGTAATTAAGTTGTTCTCCAATGTATAATAACCCACCTCCAATTCATATATTATACAATTATTTATTTCATCATATTTCTAACAATCCCCCACAAATCCATAGTTGTCGACTCAACTCTAAAACACATAATGTGCTTTCAAATATGGTACCTTCCGATTTGAACCAACTTCTAAGCTTTTACCCTTAACCCCCACAGGAACAGAGTGAACAGATTTCTTGAACTCGAACCTTGGTAGTGTTGGCGTGGGATAAAAGCAACACACTAACGGCAATGAGAACGATCTATAGGGTTGACGCTTTACGGCCGTGCGTCTGGATCCTGTCTCAAGAATGTCATGGAGAATTAACCCTTATTCTCTTATTGCGGCCACACAATAACATTCTCATAGTTGGGCATCTCCAAGAGTGCATTGCTAACACTCTGCTTTAAAGCTCGATCCCATTCAGAGTCTTAAACTCTTACTTACTTAGCAATTTCAGCATCTCTCAGGCTTATCAAGGAATAGAACTCATAAAATATTTTAATGAGATGCACAATTCACACTACGGTTTGTTTATACCACATTGAACCTACTTTATGGGATCTCCACTCAGATAGGTTGAGTTGCTATCGTAGTTGAATAATTATTGGGTTTCAGTCCCATTCATAACCTGGATTTTATCACTTGATTTAAATCAAGTCCTTTTGTTAAAGGGTTTGCTGTATTATCTTTGGATCCGATAAAATCAACAGCAAACACCCCTTGAGACACAAATTTCCTTATAGTTTTTAATCTAACTTGAATGTGTCTCATGGTCTTTTGATTATACTTGGTACTCCTAATTTTTGCAATTGTGCTCATACTATCACAATGCAAACAATTAGGTGGAATTGGCTTGCTGAATATAGGTAACTCAGACATTAGTCCCATAAACCATTCAGCCGTAATTCCAGTAGTATCCAACGCACATAATTCAGCCTCAAAAGTAGATCGAGAAAGTATCATTTGTTTAGTAGACTTCCAGGCAACAGCCCCACCACCAAACGTAAACACATAGCCGGTACATCCATAACTCCCAGAATTCTTAGCTATCCAGCTTGCATCACTATATCCCTCAAGAACAGGAGGATATTTACCGTAATACAAACACAAGGAAATGGTTCCTTTTAAGTATCTAAATACTCTATCTAAGGCCTCCCAATGAGTTCTGTTTGGGCAACAAGTGTACCGGCTCAACTTAGACACCGAAAATGCAATATCAGGTCTAGTACAGTTAGCTAAGTAACCCAAGCTACCAATCATCTGAGAATATCTTAATTGAGACATAGGAACACCACTTTCATTTTTATACAAAGCTATTGAAGGATCATAGGGTGTTTTAGCAATTCTACTATTTTTAAATCCAAATTTCTCAATTATTTTTCAATATAATGCGACTGAGAAATAGAAATGCCTTCAGTTGATCTAGTCAACTTTAGCCCAAGAATTACTTCAGCCACCCCCATATCCTTCATTTCAAACTTTGTTTTCAAAAATGTCTTAGTCTCAAAAATAATATTATCATTAGTGCCAAATAATAATATATCATCGACATATAGGCATAAAATAATACTAATATCACCTTTACATTTATAATAAACACTTTGATCATCATCTATAAGAGTAAATCCAAACGAAAAAATTATTTTATCAAATTTTTCGTTCTATTGCTTAGGGGCTTGCTTAAGTCCATATAAAGACTTAACTAATTTATAAACTTTTCTCTCATTGCCTTTTGCAACAAATCCCTCACGCTGATCCATATAAATTTCTTCTTCAAGGTCACCATGAAGAAAAAGTTGTCTTAACATCCATTTGATGAATTTTAAGACCATATACGGAGGCCAATGCTATAATATAAGCATTCTTATTGTGGTCATTCTTGCGACCGGAGCATAAGTATCGAAAAAATCAATACCTTCTTTTTGTTTGTAACCCTTAGCAACTAATCTGGCCTTATATTTATCAATGGTTCCATCCGGTTTTAATTTCTTCTTAAAAATCCATTTACATCCAATAGTAGTGCACCCCGGAGGAAGATCAACGAGCTCCCATGTTGCATTTTGAACTATAGAATCCATTTCACTTTTAATGGCATCCTTCCAATGCATGGCTTCAGATGTAGCCATTGCATCTCTAAAGGAAACTCGATCACCCTCAATATTGTAAGTGATAAAATCACTTCCAAATTCCTTAGTGATCCTAGCCCGTTTGCTCCTTTGGGGCTCATCTAGTTCATTTGATTCAAAACTAGCGTGACTAGTACTACTAGATTCTACCCTCACATTTGTCATCTTTTCCACTTGATCAGGAAATGAATTAAATGTGGTTTCTTGATTTTTAAAAGAAATATTTTGGGGCACACCCGTTTTCATTGGAAAAACATTTTCAAAGAAAGTAGCATCACGAAGTTCTATAATAGTATTAACATCTATGCCAAAAATTTCAGATTTAATAACCAAAAATCTCAATGCATAAGAATGTTCAACATAACCAATAAAAATAGCATCAACAGTTTTTTGCCCAAATTTCTTTCTTTTGTGTTCAGGGACTAATACTTTTGCAAGACAGCCCCACACTTTAAAATATTTTAAACTTGGTTTTCTGTCTGTCAAGAGTTCAAATGGACACTTATCTTTATGTTTCATGGGAATCCTGTTCAAAATATGGCAGACCGTATTCAAGGCTTCCCCCCACATAAACTTAGGTAATCCAGAGTTCTCTAATAAACTGTTAATCATATCTTTAAAAGTTCTATTTTTCCGTTCAGCTACTCCATTTGATTGTGGTGAATAAGGAGGTGTTTCTTCATGTACTATACCATATGTTTGGCATTCTAGTACAACTAAATTAGAGGTGTACTCTCCTCCCCTATCAGATCTTAACCTTTTAATTTTCTTGCGAGTTTGATTCTCTATTTCATTCTTAAAAATTAAAAAAATTTCAAGAGCTTCATCTTTACTCTTAAGTAGATACACATAACAGTATTTAGAATAATCATCAATAAAAGTGATAAAGTATTTCTTTTTGTCACGAGTTAGCACTCCATTAAACTCACAAATGTCGGTATGAATTAAATCAAGTAATTCTGAATTTCTATCAATTGAATGATAAGGTTTTCTTACTTGTTTTGTAGTAGCACATACCATACATTTCTTAGTTTTATCAATTGAGTGTTTAGGAATTAAATTTAAATTCATCATTCTTTTCACAGAATCTAAATTAACGTGATCCAAACGATAATGCCATAAAGTTGAAGAATCACAATTCTCAGATACATAATTTAATTCATAATAATCAACCACAATCTTAAAAAGTCCATCTGACAAGTAACCCTTGCCAATAAATGTTCCACCAAATAAAATTACAACTTTATTTAATTTAAAAGACAATTCATAACCCTCCCTTACAAGAATGGAACAACTAACAATGTTCCTTCTAATTACGGGAACATGATGCACCCCATGCAAAGATAGAATTTTTCCCGAAGGAAATTTTATTTCCACTTTTCCAACTCCATGCACACTAGCAGCACTTGTGTTTCCCATCATCACTGTTCTTCCAACCGCTGGCTGATAAGAAACAAAGAGCGATTTATCAGCACATACATGCACATTCGCTCCTGTATCTATTAGCCACTCATTGGAATTATAAATAGTGAAAACTTGAGGGTTAAAAGAAACATACCCATCAAAACTAGTTCCTCCAGTCACCATGTTGACTTGAGGTCCACCAGATTGAGCCTTAGCCTTTTATTTGGGCATAATTTGGCCCAATGCTCCATCTGTCCACAGTTCCAGCATGGACGGTTTGCCTTTGGTTTCTTTGCGATTTTTAGTTTGGCCTTTATTGGTTTAAAAGATGATGGTTGTTTATTCTTAGAATTTTGTAAGTGTTTTCCCACGGTTACAACATGAGCCTTTGGCTGAAATTCAACAGGAACAATGTAAACCGCTTTCTTATGTTCTTCCTCAACAATAATGAAATGCATCAAAGATTTCCAAGTAATCTTTTTCATTTTCTGTTTTAAAGTCAAACCAAAATCTTCCCACGATTTGGGGAATTTTTCAATTACAACCATGACTTTAAATTAGTCAGGCAATTCCATATCTGCTTCACGGAGAGAATGTAACATAAGCTCAAATTCTTGTGTTTGTTCTAAAACAGATTTTCCCTCCTTCATGTCGAATCTCAAGATTTTGGAAACAATATACTTTTCGAGATCGTGGTCATCAGTATTATATTTCCTATCCAGCTCATCCCAAAGGTCTTTAGTCGTGCCGTGGAGGGTGCAATAGACATCAAATAACATGTCGGAGAGTCCCAACAATATCATTCCTTTGGCTATTTCATTCCTCTCGCGCCATAAAGCTTGGCGTTCAAGACTCTTGGGATCAGATTCGACAACGGGGGGACACACTGTCATAATTACCGAGAGCAATCCCTTGGTGATTAACCAAATTTTCATGCGTTTGAAAATTTTTCTGCCAGTGCTTGAAAAAATGCCCAGAAAATTTTTCAGGCATTCCAGTCAAATCAACCATGTGAGAGCCCGTGACAACAAATTCAGGTGTGTCTTCAGATTTAGTCACAGACACAGAATTAACATTATTTTCAGGGATTTCATTCACATTATTCTCAACAACAACATTTTCGGAAGTAGCGGCATTTTCCAAGTTCGTCATATTGGATTTTAAAAACTCGAGAAATAATATCTTTCTTCAAGATTGTTAGAAAAAATAGTATTAATAAATGCGAGTTTAGTCAGATAAAATCCCGAGTTTAATCACAAATCACCAGACAACCCACCAAATGCAAGAACAAATAAAACAGAAGCAATAATTAGAAATAAAATATTAATATAAAAGTAGAGAAAAGAAAACTTAGCGTAAGATCGTCCGTTACCCGGACTGGCCTTGAAGAAAGATAGCCCCCGTATCTCGATAGCTACTCGAACGGGACTGGCCAACTCGCTCCCAGGATAATCCTACCTCTATTCCGATCCTTTAGCTTGCTTGACAGAAACACTTCGCCCGTTGCCCGATTGCCAATTTAATAGAGATGAGCCGGAAAAGAAATGAAGTATAAACTATGGAAATTTATTTTTTCTTCTCGGAAAAGATCTAATTAAGCTTCTCACGAAGAGGAAAAATCAAAGAGCTTTTTAAGAGTGAAGAGGTTTTGTTCGTGGGTGACTTCAGTGAACCAAGAAAAATCAATAATGCTGGCAACAGAACCGTTTTGTACGTGAGAATATGCTAGGCTTGCTGCGGGGGTGATTTATTTGGAAATCAGATATATACATATACGAGAGTAATGGGTCAAAAGTTTGATTGCTCCTATAATATTGCCACAATCCATTATAATAGGATCAAACCCAACTAAGTATGACTTAGCTTTTTGATTTCAAAATTTTTAAATTCAAAAGTTTCGTAGACTTTCGTAGACTTCAACTTTTATTAATAAAAATTAGTCCAAATTTTTTGTCCCCAATAATTAAATGGCTGGCTTTTTGACTTGGAAGTATTTGTATACTAACCAATCAATTGATTCCATTAAGTCACCTTATATGATACTTGAATATTATTCCTTATCATATAAAAGTACCATTTATTTTAAATATTGGACAATAAATTCTTCAAATCAATACATCACTTTTACAACTATGGATTCTAGTCATTAAATGAAATCGATCCGAACATGTAATTAAGTTGTTCTCCAATGTATAATAACCCACCTCCAATTCATATATTATACAATTATTTATTTCATCATATTTCCAACAATCCCCCACAAATCCATAGTTGTCGGCTCAACTCTAAAAGACATAATGTGCTTTCAAATATGGTACCTTCCGGTTTGAACCAACTTCTAAGCTTTTACCCTTAACCCCCACAGGAATAGAGTGAACAAAGTTCTTGAACTCGAACCTTGGTAGTGTTGGCGTGGGATAAAAGCAACACACTAACGGCAATGACAACGATCTATAGGGTTGACGCTTTACGGTCGTGCTTCCGGATCCTGTCTCAAGAATGTCATGGAGAATTAACCCTTATTCTCTTATTGCGGCCACACAATAACATTCTCATAGTTGGGCATCTCCAAGAGTGCATTGCTAACACTCGCTTTACGGCCGGATCCTGTATAATTACTCTTTAGTTTTTGCACTTTCTTAATTTTATAAATCAAGGGTTTATTTTTTGAATTTATATTTATACTTGGTTTCAATTTTCTGTCCTTCGATGATTGTGAAAGTGACAATTTTGGTCCTGCAAATATGAATTTTGCCACAATGAGTGAAGGCCACAAATCACTATGGTAATCAGGGGCGAATGTACTTTGAGGGCAGGGGTGGGCTTCAGCCCAGCCCAATTTTTTTAGTTAGTATAGGTATACATTTTATTCTGAGCCCACCTCAAAATTATTAATTATCAGCCCAGCCCGGTATAAACTCCCAGCCCAGCGCTCCAGCCCACGTCCCAGCCTTACTTGCGATTCTCGGCCTACTGACTTAGGCAAATTAGAGAGTTGCGAACGATTGAACTTTGAAGACCTGCGAAGTGCGAAGGAGCCTGCGAGGAGGAATCGAGGATGAAGGAGTTGTGAACCTGCGTGAACATTAGCCGCGTCGCCTACGTTGTCCGCCGTCTGCCCACTGCTGTCTGCCTGTCCCTGTCCACCTCTGACCCTCTGCGGCTCTGCGCCTCCCTCCAGGTAAACTCCAAGTCTCCAATTCTCCAAATTCAATTTCTGTTTTAGATTTTAGATTTTTTTCTTGTTGTTAGATTGTGAATGTGTTATTCTCCAAATTCTATTTCTAAACTCCAATTGTCGACGTGAATGTGTTATAAGTTATTGTGTATTTGTGTATTAATTTATTACGGAATATTATTTTTAGCATTTTAGAGTTTTAGGATTAGGGAATCATTATGATTATTAATTGAATTTTTCAGTACATAATTAAATAGTGATTAATTCATTATAAATTTAGAATGATTAAAGATAGAATTAAAGAGTAGAAAATGATTTAGTTATTATACAATTGAAAATTGAGAATACTTATTACTTTTATGTACAAGTGTACAATGTTTGTTTTTTCCTTATTAGTTACGAAGTATATTTTTTATATAAGTATTTTAATTTATACCAATATTGTAAATGTTTTTTAGAATGGATAATGAACACATTGCCAAGAAAGGGAAGAAGTTGATTTCATTATTCTTTCCGAAAGTGAATCGTGAAATTGGTGAAGGGACTTCTGAACCTATACCTACGATTTATTGATGATCTAAATTGAATGAGACTTTGTCAATAATATAGATGTAGATTCTATTATTGATGAATTTTATACTTTGAAGTCACGTAGGGCACAATTTAAATGATGTTTTGATGAATATTTAAAGTGTTGACGACTTGACTTATTATTATGTATGTGTATTTCAATTTTTTTTCCAGCCCACCCCATTGGGACTTTTTGGATCCACCCTTGATGGTAATACTTAAGGATCAAAATACATTAACAATAGTCGAGACTCACGGTACTAGAAGTGAAAACATTCAAGCATAGAAACCTGGTACAAAAAGTGTCTCTAACACATTAGTTAGAGATGTGAAAGTAGAAACAGACATGTACCGAAAGTGTCACCAACATAATAGTTGGCAGGACTAAAATTGGCAACAACTATTAAACAATAAAAAGGATTATTCAAAGCATAAAACATGAAATTTACCAAATTAACCCTTTAATGCTGAAACTTACCTGAACTGCTGAGAAGTTTCACTGGGTAGAATTCCCTGAGCATCTTGTTCTAGTGATATGGATATAAAATTAGTCTTCCGGTTCCTAAATGCAATGACAAACACACGGCCAATTCTCAATATTGGATTCTTATCGTCACTGCTTTGACGGAAACGATAAGTAACAGTCCCAAGCAGGAAGATAACAAGAGCAAGACCCATCATGATACAAGGGATTCCAAACCCAAGACCCAACTAAGGTTGTCCTGAATATAATTCAAAATCCATAGTGTGACCATAACACCAAAGCACATCCCAAAATACCAGCAGTTGAAGAATGAGCTTTTGGCTTTACACTCTTTTGGATCTTGAACACATGGCTTGTGTCCACCTTGTGCTAATACCACCAGATGTAGCGAAAAGAAGAAAAAGACAATTTCGAACATAGGAGGAGAGCAGGCACCAGATTTTGTAGCTTCTTGACAGTCAGTAGACCAAAAAGGAAGGGTAGCAGAGACAGTAAGGAAGCCCAGTCCCTGCAGTTTAAGTGTATGCTGGAGTAACAGAGAATGCTAGGGGGGATTATTTTCTTGTTTTTTTGTTTTACTTGTAAAATGCAGAGAAAACGAAATATGGCGAGTTATTTAAAATATTTACAACTATTTGGGTTTCTTAGTCTTTGTATGATAGCAATAGCAAGTAAAATGAGTATTAAAAACATATAAATAAAATAATTGAGTACGGTGTTATGGATGTAGGGTGCCCTAACATAACAAGTACATCGAAGAAAATGAAATATTTCCATATAAAGGAAATATGATCATTAATATCTACTACTTCTGCCTCGTTCAAAGGTTCTCATTGCAAAATGACACGATTATTTAGACAATAATTAAAATATGCTATTTTGAATATATTTTGAGAAATAGTTTTGATGGTGTATAATATGATGTGTTATTGATAATAACTGTGATGTTATAGATTTATTATTTTTAAGAGAATATTAACCGAAATAGGACTAAAACAGTTTGAAAATTCCAAAATAGGACAGTCATGTTTTTATTCCCAAAATAGGACTAATTACTGCCATGTTTTGGCAGTACCAGACTTCAAACATTGCAGTATTTTCTAAACATGGCAGTAATTAATCTTATTTTGGGAATAAAAAATATGACAGTCCTATTTTGAAATTTTTAAACTGTTTTAATCCTATTTCAGGAACATTCCCTTTTTTTAATATTTGATGATCAAATTGTTATTTAAGAGTATTAATTATTTTCTAAAATAGAAAATAAGAAACTTTAGTTAAGACGTTTAAAAAGGAAAGTCAGAATCTTTTAATGAGGACAGAGGGAGTAGTATTTATTTTAATGTTGTTCCATCATGACCTTTTGAACTACATTTAGCTGCGCTAAATGGTTCATAAAATGGTATCTCATATAATGCTCTCAAGATATGTATGGTATAAACTACAAGGCTTCAATGGTGAATGAAGTGAGAAATGAATGCTGAATAACAAACCACAAAAGATCACACTGACTAATGGTCTAATGCTATGTTTGGAACCCACAAAAGATCACACTGACTAATGGTCTAATGGCCGAGGTTTTTCCATGCGTTGGAGTATGTGAGAATTAACGGGAAAAGATACTCCAATAGAAATCCTGGCAGGTATATTTATAATAAAGGTGTTCTAAACATACAAGGAAAC